ATGAGAGGATTAAGTCCCAGAGACAAGGAACAATTTAGGATAAATCTGCACTATTGCTACCAGTGATGACCCCTGAAGGAGCTTCACTTTGGCTACACTTAAGAGATCATCACAACCTTTTTTTGGTCATTTATTAGAAGACACTGGAGTACGTGTCTCCATCAACCTTCAGGAGCATCCCTGCACTCAATTCCAAGCAAGGACAACCTTCCTTCATCCCTCACTGTTCCAAAGCTGGCTGGCATATCCCAGGCAGGACCAAAAACCTGGGATCCAGTTAAAGCTGTCACCTCATCCACAGTAAGAGCCTCTTCTCAAACTACACCCTGAAGCATAAAGAGGACCATCCCACCTGCAGTTAGCTGCAGTTCACTCGTGGACTCTCCTGCTCCTGCAAGGCAAAGCTCCAGAGGCAGAAAAAGAACTTTCGCAACATTTGGCCTTTAAATCTGCAGTCAAAAATTAACAAGCCACAGATTTCTGCAGGCTGTGGGCTCAAAATCTGCTAGGTTGTATTTACACTGACAGTAACTTAAAAGCCTCTTAAGCTCCTAGAAAAGTATGCTTTCAAAGGGTGCTTCAGGGTATGGGGAGGAAGGGGAGTAACAAAATTCTCTGGCTTTCCCCAGCTGGCTCTTCTAATTTTCCTGGAAGACTTGCTCAAAGTCTGGAAAAAAATCCTCAACATTGTTAACACAAACAATTTAGTTGCTTTAATACTGAACGGTCCCAACGCAGGTTAGATTTGGGGGTTTGCTCCTTTGCTTGAATGTGTTTTCCCCTCACAGAACCATCAACACACACCTCCCTACCTCAACTACACACACAGCAACGCATTGACGCAGAGAAGCGCCCTGCAGATGTGGGCTTCAAAGTTCAAACCTGGGGACCACTGCCCTTCAGAAAAGCTCCATCAACACGAAGAAACTCCACAAAGCAGCAGGACTCATTCTTAAATTAGCAATCTTAAATAAGCAATCCATTTCCTAACTGTTTGGATGTTCCCAAGTTTCTCAGTCTCCAAATTCAAGGTCATTGAAAAAAGCAGCACTCTGCACACTACAAGCCTTGCGGATACGCGGCTCATCCCGAAGGAAGATTCCTATGACCCTTCCCTTAAGCATCTATAAATTACTTCACCCATCCAAATACCACCTGGGACCCAAGTCAGCAAGCTCCTTCAGCCTCACAACTTATTTTCCCTATCCTCTTTACCTTGACTTTCCAAGAGGTCACATTTCCACTATTTCCAATATATACATATAGATAGGTGGGGGTTTTTTTAACAAACCTAGAGAAACAAGAGGAAATGACCTGCTTAGCAGCAGACACCCTATAAAAAGAAGGGTTTTCTACAGCTGAGTTGCCAGGAGCAGGAGTCACTCCCCAGGACAGATGGCTCAGAACACAAAGCCAGTCAACAACAGAGGAAGGAGTTGAAGGAGTTGCTTACAACAGAGGTGGACAGGAGAAGAGGTAGGATCTGAGAACAGACAGACCCAGCACAAGAGTGTCAGGGAAACTTTGACATGCCCAGAGACGCTGGCCCACATGGCGATTATAGCTCAGGCAGCAGCCCTCTAAGCTGCCATCCTACCTCTACCCTTCATCCTCCAGCTGACACGGCCATCCACAGGAAGAAAGGGAAGATACAACACCTCAGCCCAACACAAGTAGCAGCCCGATGCCAAGACCCACATGGCCCAGCAGCTCCAGGAAGGAGTTCAGCCAGCAAACGCTGGCGGAGGAGGAAAGGCTGATCTCTCCAAGGAAAGGGGCTGCAGGACACCCACCGGGGCAGGGGAAAGTTTGATATGAAGGCTTTAGCGAGGGAAAGGTGAGCAGGAGAGAGGCAGCCCTTAGGAAAGGGAAGAAGAAAGTGAGGACAGGGCAGTGCCAGCTGTGGGAAGGGGAAAAGAGAAGTCAAAAGGCAAGGGCTGAACTTGGCAGGGGGGGGTAGGTACCAGCCAGGGGATGCAGGCATCGACAGGGCTGGGGAAGGGGGGGGAGAAGTGCTTGGTAAGAGAGGGAGGGCAAGCAGAAGGGACGGGGAAGAAAAGCAGGGGGCA